CGTATAAATTATATCCCGGTGTCCTCAGACCGCAAATACGCCCTCCATTAACCCATGGCTCCTGAAGGAGGATGAAGTCAGGCCGTTCTTCTGCCATGCGGTTAACTAGGGCTAGAGACGTTAGTTTGCTGTGGTGTAGATTAATTTGGAGAAGACGCATTAATTAGTGTGTTCTCTGCATCTTCATTAGAGTCGCTTAAAAGCTGACTCTCAGTGTACAGTTTAGAGAGTCTGTCTGCAAGCTCAGAACTTGAAGTACACTCCCTTGGTCAGTGTTCTCTACATCGCTCGAGGACTCCACTGGATTTTCTCGACTTCGCCTTACGATTCCGATGCCAAGTTTTCTCCTGCATCGGCGTCTGACTTGTAGGTCATGACCTTCACTTTTGTGAATCCGTAGTTGATCTCTCCGCCACTTTTCGCTAGCGGTTCTACGGATTCCTTTGTTAGCAACAGAATCTGCATTGTTGCTCGTTTCGTCTCCACAACAGATTCCGCTGCGGGGTCATCGAAGGCCCTGACGAATCTCCATCCCCCAGTTGGCAAATTCGGGTTACAGGCTCTTATGAGTTGCATTATCTGGTCCGGCTGCGATGGTGTTGCCGGGCTCCATGCCCTTGCCCTCGGTCGGGATGGGATAACTTTTTTGTCTACCGCTACTAGCCTGGCTCCGGGTTAGACCTCCCCCACCTTAGGTATTGCGGCCTTATATAATATAATAGCTGGACCGATCTCTCGTCGTCACACGCTATCATCTTTATCTGCCCCTGATACCATCCGGCATCCGTACATACTCGCCTTGGCTGTTGTCGAGCTCGTGCCAATCGCTGCTCTCTTCTGGGAACAACTCGCTCCCTCTAGTGGTTATTAAAGGAGGTCCGGACTCCTTTTTGTTTTTATTATTATTGTTGTTAATGTTTTGGCTCATAGTTTCGACCCACGAGTGTAGGCGAAAGTATGTCCGCTTGCGCATAGCCCCCGCTACGCAAGTAAGGCTATCGATGAGTTATTTTACTCTCCTCAAGCCTAGGTACTTAAGCATCAACAATCATTTGAAAAATCTCACCTTGTTGATGACACCTTCACCATCCTCATCGGTGGCGCATAGTCTTTTGACACTTTGCACAGCCGTCGTAAACCACGTCTTTCGGCCTTCTCAGCTGAAGGGTGCAATGTAAAATTGAGACAGCTATAACAGCTCGCGCAAGCGGCCTGAGTTTCTGGTCGTCTGGTCGTCATGTCTCCATAGATCGGTCAAGAATTTGATAGTAGTTCAAATATTACTTATATCGGTGGAGAGGGTACAAGACTTCAAGATCCACCCATTTCATTCGTTTATGCTGATTTATGAGTTGTCGAATTTATAGAGATGATTATGGGTAGATGGCCTGATGGGATAGTTAGTATAAGTCGCCAGGTAGTGGGACGTTGAAACCTGTATAACTCAGAAGTGGCTGCTTAATTTAGTTTCTTGGACCACAGCTATCGATACGTCTTCTATATTAGTTCATAATTCATGTAGGCTATTACCGCCTTTCCGGGACATATTTATCACTCTCACTTATGTTAGCAGATCCAAAATACAATCTTACTCCTACTGGTGAGGTTACGGACGAAGTCTGAATATTCTCAACATAGATGAATTTACTTCAAATAATAAATAATAGCATCAATCAGACTCTCAGTTACTAAAAGAACTACAATGACAGATGAATAAAAAATGTAAATATACATACATACACATGGCCGAAAAAGTCTGCTTTCACGCACTGTATTTAAGCATTCAACCATAAAAATATATGCTACTTAAAAGTTTAAATTAATTTCTTTTCACTTATTTTGAAGATAATTGTTCGATGAGTGGATGGGCAAAACTTTGTAGAATTTGAGCTGCGTCGTTCTGAGTTAACGGGATTTTAGTACCGTTACTTAAGTAAGTTGAGCAGAAACGATCACTTTAAATAGCGATGGTCAGTTGTATGAAAAGTGAAACGCGAGAAGTCGTGAAAACTATTGAGAGACAGTACTCCTCACTCCAGATAGAAATAAAGTGTTACAAGCAACCAAAATGTTATGACATAACTTATGAGTCTAAGCCACGTTTTGGACGTCCAAAAACAAAAAATTAACTGAAAGGGAAGACTAACAGCTAGCCAAATTTCCAAGACATAGAATTTGAATACCAAAGGAAGTTATGTCGAGATACAGCGCGAGCTTCCCTTGTTGCAGCAGCAGTGTGCGAGTCGCTTCTTCATTTTTTAGTTAGTGTCGATGCTTTCTGCCACAGTCTTAGGCTTACAGGGCACCATAACTACAGAGCTGAGCCTGTAGTTCAGTTGGACACCCTCCTTACGGATGTATTTGTAGAACTCATCATCGATACTATTATTGCGCCTCTATCCGGCATTCTCGATACTGCTGTCGACAACCCGACAGACCGAGGTATTAATGAGTTTTGGTTTCTGACGAACCCGAGAGCGAACTCGTATGGATTGCCTGCGGTCTTGAGGAGAAACACCGTCATGCTGTGCATAGGCGGAATTTCTTCGCCCCTTTTCGCGCAGAGGACGGGACCTTTCCAGTGGTCACTTGTGATTGGTTACTCCTTTGCCGTTTGGAACTCGGTGGCTCCTGAGGGGATATCTGCTCGATCTTGTCACCTGAAGTGTTTTTCGCAAACTAAATAAAGTATTTTGTATTTTTAATTTTGTTTACTTTGTCAAATAAATGAGTTAAATACCTTAAAGTTATTTTTAATTGTTTACACGGTAAAAAAGGTAGTTAATAAAATTTGTCCAATTCTTTTGAGGACATGTTGCAATTTTATTAAGATATAGTCAAATGTCGATATTGACATTTTGCGTAGTAATAAAATGTTTGTGGATATTTGCGCATTTTTAAATATAAAAAAACTACGCATTTCAATTAGCAAAGTATCAAATATACGGTCAAATCTGGTTAAGAGAGAGTTTAAGGGACCATTATTTTTTTCTCGCTTATAGAGGTTTCTCATTAATGCTCTCACTAAAACTCTCTAATGCGAGTTTCTAGCTTATAGAGGTACAGAAGAGGTAAACTTACAGAGGTTTGTCGATGACATTCAAAATATGTAGTTGTAAACATGATAAAGAATAATTTATTAAAGTGAGTACAAAGTGATTATTAAAATGCATAAATACAAAGACGCAAGTAAAAGGCAAATTTTATTTTCAAAAATCAGTAAACTTTTTTGTGTCTGTAATTTTACACTATGTGTATGCTTTTCGAGTTCATATATTTTATCAAATATAGTCTTATCGCCAACCGCTGAGTATTAAAAAAAACTTGTGGAGCGTCTCCAAAGCCCCTAAAGCTTTTTGCTTTATAGTTTTTAGTATAGTTGCAATTTATCCGAACTCCGTCAGTTACGCAATTTTGAATGATGTCATCTTCGGTAAATTCTCCAGACAATATACTTGTAAGTTGTTGTAAGAGCTGAACTGTTCGTTGCAAATGATATTTATGAACTGCAAAGAGCATGACAAATAAGTTAATACAGTTATATATTATTTCTTAAAATTACAAGAAAATAACACAGTTTTTGATTCCTGAAAAAAAAAGAGTTATACATAGGAAATTTGTCGCTAAGAGAGGTAAATACAAAAGAGGCTCTCAGTTATAGAGGGAAAAACGACTGTTGCTTATGGAGGTTTTTGTTTCTCACTCATAGAGTTTTTGAGAGGTCAAAGTTTGGGACCTGAGAATTATCATTTATAAAGTTTTCTCGCTTAAATTTGTATGCAAATTTAAAAAAAAACCTTCCAGAGGCATACCTTACTGCATTATGATATATTATACGACAATGCTGCGCAAGTGAATAAAGATTAGAAAAACATAATGGACATTAATGTGACAATTGAAGCCGTACAGAAACAAAAGTCAAAAAACACCTATTCACGGAACGCTTTAAAGTTTTGGTTTGAAACATTGCCAAAAATATGAAAAGTTTACTGTGGCTGATTGGAGCAAAGTTGTACGGTCATGGGTGGTGGAAAAGAAAGAATAAAAAAGGTTAAACAGGCACCTAAAGTCCACATTAAAATTTGGAGGTGGCAAAATCATGATTTAGGGTCGCATGACTTTCGAATGTGTTGTTAAATTTTTGGAAGTCGGTGGATATATGAATAGGGAAAAGTACATATGTCCACATGTTGGGAGACGAGTTAAAAGGTAGTTCAAATTTATGGCGAAAAGAACTTCCAGACGTTATATTTCAACACGATAAAGTCTCTGATAACACGTCAAAAATAGCAAAAACGAAATGTGGAACACTGTGGCACATTCATGACACAACATAGCTCTAGAGGCAGGCCAAAACATTGTGGAAGTAATGCTCAGAAGACTCTATGTAGTTTCAGATAAAACAATAAGTATGAAGACCGTTTTAGATTAAAGTCGTTTTGAATTCGTTTGAAAAAAAATGTATACGTATGTACATGACTATTACAATAACACGAATTTTTCATATGTAGCAATGAAAATATTTATTAAAGGAGTCTTGGCATATTTTGTCATCCTAAGATACTATTTATTTTACCTTTGTTTTAATGTATGATAAATTTCATTCAACGAAATAAATTAACTTTTATATAATGAATTACAAATATGTACACATTTGGCATAAACCTAAAAAAACAATTTAACTTGACAGTCATCTTGACGGAGATTGCGTAAACTCGCCCGGAATTTAAAGCCATAAAGGGTTGTTTTTGATCAGAGCATTTGTTTGACTTAAACTTCTTCCATATCATAAGAGTGATATGCGAACACAAGTTTTTGATATTAAACTTGAGGTCATTATGGACAACTTTATACTATTTATTCTATCTGTTATACTTGTTCGAAATTAACGAAAGTATAAAAACGGATGAAGGTTCTTTTATATATGTTTATATTTTATAAGTAACGACTGATGAAATTATTTAAAAAAAAAACTTTATAACAAACACTTTTTTTTTCAGCTGCTCTTCCGGAAGTTATTTTGCGAAACTGTCGTAATTGCTCGCCACAACAAGCTCAAAATGCTCAAAAATTAACAAATTTTTTACAAGCTAGATATCCAGATGTTTGGGCAATGCTTCTAAAGAAATATCAAAATATATAAAGCATAATTCTTGTAATTAAATATTACATTTATGGTATAACAAAATCTTTTTTGATGTTTTTGCTGCTGTATTTTTGCCGTTATAGCTATTCAAAAGCCGTACAAAATAAATGATCTTGCTAAATAAGAACGAATTCGTTGTTTAATTTTTCACGGCTAAAGTTTGATTATTTTAAGGCACATTTTGTTCTTATGAATTTTATAACTCAATGAAAAATCATTACAAATCGGAAAACTCATAGGTTTGTAGGAATTAAGTGACTATTTTTGAAGAAAAATGTCCTAAAAAACTATGAGTAATAAATAACGAAATATTCAAACTCTACCCGCTAATATTTTTGCACGGTTAGGCTTACGAAAAAATCAATTTTATGTAAAATCTATATAATTGAGAGTAGTTGGAGAAATTCTCTTTTCTCTTTATCTGATAATAAGAAAAAATTACAATTAAGAGCCCATTCTTGGAGAAATTTTACCAGAGGTGCCTAAGAACCTAATTTTCAGAGTGTCAATCGAAAAAATTATAATATAATATTTCTAAACAAAATAATGTGTTTAACATTGAAAGAAAAATAATAATTAAAATTTCGAGTAAAATGCCAAATAAATTGATTATATTTTCCATTGATAAATATTTGTATCAATTCAAACTTAAACTTCAAGTACAATCCCTTGTATTCTTATACCGCCAATAACGTTCTTTCCTTTATTCTTAAATAATGTTATTATTGTTTTGAAAACTGTATTATAATATTATACATATACACTCACATAAAAAACAAGCAAAAAATTAATAAAAAAAAAATTAAAATTAAACATCAAAAATTAATTATTTTTAAAATAATTTAAAATATTCTTATGTTTAAATTAACGTTTTCAACAGTAGAATTTTTTCTTTAAAATATTGTGTTCAACGGTACTTATCCTTAAATTTATCTTTACCAAATTATATTATATCCCAAAAATCAATATGTTTAATAAAATTTATGCAACTCAATACAATCAATTAAAATAAGATATCAGCTTCATTCAAGATATCACTATCACCATCATTTGCTTTCCCAAATCGCCTCTTTTACTTTGATTAGCAACAACTGTTGCAGTTGCATTGCCCAAATATTCGCGAAAGAAGAAATTATCTTGTTCCCCACATTTGATGTAACAGATGTAACCAGAGATAAAGAGATGCCCAAATCGTCTCTCACTGGAAATGAGAGCTCAATTGATAAACGTCAAAACCTACTGAACTCAAGCAACTGTCAAAGTTCAGTAGGTCTGACGTTTAGCAATTGGAAAAAGAGGGACGGCCATATTAATATCCTACAGAAAAATATTATATATAAACAGAGAGATTTGTGCTGCTGTTGCAGATCACTAACAAAAATTGGAAAACAATGAAAATGAAAGAAAACGCGAAATTGAATTGTATGTGATGATATCTTTTGTGATGTCATGCTAAGTGGTATTGATTTTCAATTGAAAATTTTCAAAAACATTTATTAATTGAGAGCTAATACATTTATTCTTTTGATTACGTATTGAAAGTTCAAAAATCAATTGTTTAATATATCAAAAAATCACAAAAAAAGAGTATAAAAACGTTTCATTCTGTAATTTAAATTCCCAAAAATTATTATTTTCCGATCTGGCTACAATGGAAAATGTTATAAAAAACGCTAATTTTGAGGCGCTCTCACACTGGAAAGAGTTGGGCATCGCCAACAGATTTTGGGCCACTATTTGAATTCCGTTTCTTTAGTCGACGAGCCACCAACTTTGGAGTGGACAGAAAGAATGGTGATGACAATTGCGATGCACCGATTACTCTGATATTAGCTATCATCGATTCGAAATTTCTTTGCTCGCTGCTCTCTTGTCAAAAAAGTTCCATGTAAAGCAACCACAAAGTTATCGAGTTGAATTTGTACAAGAGAGTATGCGTATACCATATTAAAGTGATATAGCCGTTATCTTCAGTGCTATCAAGTTTAGTTTTGCATATTTTACATCAGCTTTTCTACTGTGAATGGCTAAAATTACATATGAAAATACAATTTTATTTTTTTCTTATATATATAAATATATAGCGATTATTTGTAAGACATGTATGTATGTATGTTTTCATACATATTTATCTTAATATTGCAAAGGGAGGTTTTCTCCTAATATAGTATGTATTGTATATATTTATATATGTTAAATATAATATATGAATATGTATGTATATCATAAATTGGATTGGCCTTTATGTATGAATGTTTAAATTTATTTTGTAAGTTTTCGCACTTTTTTTGCCTTTGCTTATTTTAGGCAATCCTGCTTATACTTGATAAAGTATAGGGGTATTGCCGGAAATAGGTGCAAGTAAATACTTGAATTGTTTTGTTGTATAGATATTTTTGTGTGTTTAAACATAATGGTAAGCAGTTAGGCAATCAAGAGTTCGTTTTATATTTGGATATAAATGAACCAGAAAATAAACTGAAATATTGAAACAGTTTGGTAACCGCTCCTTTTGTTTTTGCTTTTGTGAAAACGGATTTATGCAATAATTAAAACGCAAATACATAAATTTCAATATACATATAATATTAGAAAATATACAAATACTAAAAAGAATCGATACGACTCACTTTGGGGTCTGCCAAGGAGTTTTGGTATTGCATACCATATGTGTGTATGGTATACTTGTGCGATGCTTTTTCTGCTTGTGGCTCTCTCTCAGTTTCTGTTTTTTGTTTTGGTTTTGACTCGCGCAAGTTATTTTTTAATTATATATATATGTATTTTTGTTGCTATTCGCGCCCGTATAAAATTTTATGGTTATTTCGCGCCCGTTTTTTTGGTAATTGTTGTTTTTCACCTCTTGTATTTATGTTTGTGTTATTCCACACTTTCTTCTTTTTTTCCACTTCACAGCACGTTTTAGTCACTAGTTATATATTATATATATGTATGTTTTTTGTTTATTTGTGTGTATACGTTGTGTGTATACGTTACGTTTAGCCAATTCACAGCACTTTTTTCCTCACTTAAAATATATATATATTGTTATTTTTTTTTTTGCGTTTCTATAGGTTTTTTTTTTGTTCACTCCATAGTGCCGCTCACTATGGCTGGAAGGACCATGAATATTTTCTTCACTTTTACACTCACTTTTATTGTACCGGTTAGTGTAGGTGTTAGTGGGTGGAGTCTTCTTGTGGATTGTGTTGATGTGGTGTGTTGGCACTCAGTGGCGTGTATAAAGTGTCTTATTTGATGGCACCATTTTGAAATTCGTTCGTTCGCTGCATTGTTGCATTAAAAGAATCTGCAGCGGAGATATTAGAAACCATTACATAGAAAGACGGGATGGTATCAGCACAGCAAACAGATCTTCTAAATTAAGTTGCAAAATCGCCGCCAGAAAATCAATAAGTCTCTGCAGAAATTTTCTAAGATTGAGAGGTTAGCTCACTTAGCTAATTCACATAAATACATTATGTTCATCAAGGACACGGAAATTCGGAGCTCGGAATACGAGTTGATACTACATGCTTTGCTGCATTATTATGTACAAAATTGACGTTTGCGGAAACCGTTTCGTATGCTCTGATACAGGAAACTGCATCTCTGCTTAGCAATCAAACATTTAAAGATGTAGTAGAAATAGAAGGACACACCTGGGGGAATCAATGACGTAAATAATTTAAAATAATATATCTAATCTGGAAAAATCTACAGAAATGCGGAAGAAAAACTATGGTGTTGTTAAGTACTTCGACTGCGGAACATTTGTTGTGAACGAGCCTTAATTTTTTACTGGTTTGTTGACATGACATCTGTTAAACATTTTCAATTACAGTCATTGAAGAAATAACATAATTTTTTCATTGAGCTGAAAATGTAAAATTTTGTACCGGAAAGTGATGATTTGTGGAAAGCATTAATTTTTTGTTTTCATTTCAAGAAAAGTGCTGCAGAGTCGCATCGAATGCTTGTCGGGCTATATGATGGTCATGCTCTATCACAAGCAACATGCAAATGATGGTTTCAACGGTTCAGAGATAATGCAAAGTAATTTTGTTACACCACAATGCAACTGCGAACAAAGCAAAATCGGTTCAGGATACAATCAAAGTACTTGATTGGGAGCTGCCACCCCACCCATCGTATTCACCAGACTTGGCCCCTTCCGATTACCATTGGTTTTCATCGATGGGAAACGCATTGGCTGAGCAGCACATCCATTCCTACACGGAAGTCGAATATTGGGTTGTTCTGCTTCAAAAAGACGAACATTTCTATAAGCGTGATATCCACAAATTGCCAGAAAGGAGGTAAAAAATGTGTAAAAGCAGTGGTCAATACTTTGAAAATTTCTTTCTTTTGAATTTCCCATTCAAAATTGGTATTTCATTTTTATTTCATACCAACACAAGAATGAGAAAAGGATAAATTAAATAAGCAACGGTAAGAAGAATACAAATTAAAGTACTTAATTTCTAAAGGTAGCGAAAAGAAGTTGGTGATCATAATTGAGAGAGAAAAGTTATGTACAAAAGAAAAGTAACGCTTCAAAATATATAGGGTGAATTATTATAATATGTAACTCGGGCTGGCTCCCGCAAGCAAATGAGTAATCTCCATTTCACAAATACTGTGAATACGCGCGTCACATTCGATAATAATTCGATCTGATCTGGTTAATGAAGAAGTAAGACCATTAACTGGGCAAAGTACTGCAACTGGAGAAAATACTCAAGTTCTCGGAAAAGTAAGTGCGAGATCGTAATTCGAAAGACAGTCGTATTAGACAGTTTTATAGTGGCAAATAACGTCGACGAAGCCAATTATGTTCAGAAATGATAACAAGTACAACGTTAAACGAGTGATAATAACAGAGAGCCAACAGATTTTACCAATGTCTGAAGCAGTTATTTAGGCAGCAATAGATGAAGACCAAGGGACAAACAAGTTGTGGGTAGTTGAAGCAATATAAAAATCTACATCAAACTTACTTTTACGCAAAACCCTAGTTTTGACAGGACAAGATAAACGTCTTCCAGTAAGAGTACTTATTGAGTTCAAGTCACCAATCAAACTGTCCAAAGGAGCTAAACTATGGTAGTGTCAGGAGATTGAGGCCGTG